ATAACTTTTTTTTTAAAAAAAATAATTTTATTTTAGTTTTTTTAGTAAAGTAATGCTTTATTTATTATTAAATTAAAATATAATAGAATAATTAAAAAGTTAATTAGATTATTCTTTATTTAATATAAAAAAATTATAAAAATTAGTTAAAAAAAATTTGAATAATTTTTATTAGAAATAATTATTAATTTTATATTAATATATTAATCTTTTTGCATCAGTCCATATATATATATTAAATTTTAATAATAAAATAATTATTTGATAATTATAAATTATTTATATTATATCTGATATTATAAATAACTTTTTATATAAATTTAATATTATATTTAAATTATATAAATAGATATAAATAATTAAAAATATTAATAATTTAGAAAATAATTTATATAATTATTAAATAATTTATTTAAATTTATAGAAAAATATAATTATTATATTAATTAAAATTAATTTTAATAAAATTTATTATTTTATATATATATTATCTGTCATATTATTATCTATTTTATATAAAAATAATTATTTTTTTTAAAATTATTATTTTTTCATTTTTATTTAGTATTATAATCTGTTAAAATTTTTTTATATTATAAATATAAAAATTTATTCTTGTAATTAGTTTCTTTTATGCTTTGATATTTTGAAGATTATGAGATTTTGCTTATATTTTTAATATTATTTTTAGAAACTTTATAATATTTAAAATAAATATAAATTATATTATTATAATAGATAAGATTATTTTTATAATTTATATTAAATCTGAAAAACTATTATAAATTTTATTTGAGAAATTAAATAATATAATAAATATTTAATAATATATTATATATAATTAGTAATAATAATATAAAAATATAAATAATTATATATAATAAATTTATATTATATAATTAATATTAATATAAGATTTTTTGTAACTCTTATTTCTTAAAATATTATATAATAAATATTATTATTTTAATAATATATATTATTTAAAAAATTTAATATATAATTAAAATTTTTTATAATTAATTTAACATATTATTTAAAATAAAGTTTTTTTTATTATAAATATTATTAAATATAATATTAAAAAATTCAAGAATAATAAAAAAAATTAATTAATTAAAATTTTTTTATATTTAGAAAATAAATTAAAAAATAATTACTTAATATTTTAAAAATATATATTTATTTTAATAACTAATTAAAAAATTAATTTTAAAAAATAAATATTAATATTAATTAATAAAATTATTCTAAAATATATAAATTATTTTATTATTTTTAAATATATTATTTAAAAAAAAATTTCTTTTTTTATAAAATTTCTAATTATAATTATTTAACTTTACTTTCTTAAATATAATAATTATAAAGAGATTTAATTATTTATTAATATTTAAAATATATATTATTATAATTTAATATAAAAAGATTAGTATATCAGTATTATTTTTAAAAAATTTTATATTTGAATAATAATTAAATATCTAAATTAGTAATCTAACTTATATAAAATAAATTATAAGATATATTTTTTCTTTTTAGTTAATTTAGTGATTTTTCTTTTATATATCTAATCTAAAATGAAAAGAAAATCTGTTAACAAATAATAAATAACAGATAATTATTAGTATTTATTAGTACTTTTTAGATATTTATAATAGAAAGAAATAATATTAAGTTATATTACTATATAAATATATTATAATAATTCTTAATATTAGAAAGAAAATAGTTATAAGAGTAGTTTTAATTAAAATTAAAGAAATAATAATAATTTTATAATATATAAAATAATTAGCAGATTATAAAATAAATTTAATTTCAAAATTACTAAAATTTTATATAATATAATTACTATAACAAATATTTTGATTTTCTTTTCATTAGAAATAAATTATTAAATATTTTTAAAGAAAAAATTACATTTAAAATTATTATTAATCTATAAAAATAATTATTGAATAGGATGAAAGAATATAATATTATAATTAATAATATATTATTAATTGATAAAAATTCTGATAATGAAGATTTAATTTATTATAAAGATAAAAAAATTAATATATAAAAACTAATAAAAATTATATCAAAATAAATCCTAAAAACTAAAAATAAAATAAATTATTAAAACTTTAAATTTATTTTTTTTTAAAAAAATTTTACTATAATAATGTAATATACTAATATTTTTATATCAGATTATATATAAATAATAATTATATATTAACATATAACTTTTTAAAAAATTTTTTAATATTTAAAATACTAATAAAATATATATTACTTTCTTAAATAAAAAAATATATTATATAAGCTAATTAAACTGTTTAATTTGTTTATTAATAATAATTTAATAATTCAAAGAATAATTAATTTGTTTTCTGAGAGAATAGTAATTCTATTAGATTATAAAATGAATAAAAAAGTTAAGAAAATTGATATCTATTATTTTTTTATTTAACTAATCAATTTAAAATGAAAAGTTATTAAATAAAACTAGATATTAGAGAGAATTAGATTATATTTTTGGTTTGCTTACTGAAATTATTTTATATGATAAAAATCTAATTATTAAAAAGTTACAAGTAATGACAAAAATAAATATTGAGAGCTTGATGTTTGAAGTGGTATCATTATCACTTTGTTTTGTTGCAACACTACTTTTTTATAGCAAATTTACTCAAGTCGGTTTATTATTTTGCATTTATTCAATTATAAATTAAATTAATATTATTTAATAATTATTAGTATTATTAATTATGAAAATAAATAATAAATTTGATCTAAATACAATTATCATATCGCTATTAAAAAAAACCGACTAAAAAATATTATCAGTTTTTGTTTCCAAATAGTAATAAAAAATTACACAAAAAAATGTATATATAAAATGAACCGTTCTGTACATAACTATGCACAGAATAGATAATTAAATAAATAAATAAAATAAATTATTGCACAACCGGTATGCCTAATCTCAAAGAGCAGCGTTCACAAAATCGTGCACTTTTATCGATTCCAGTGAACGTACAACCCAGGCAAAATATTCCACCGCAAGTCTTGCAATGAAGTTTTCGTTCTTTGAAAAGCCAATGAATAACAAAAAACAAGTTAAAACACAATAAGCTCATGATACGATGGAAAATATATTAATTCTTTACCTAATACAGCAAATTTAAGACCACATTTTAAGCAGTTGTCGGTAGAATTATCTGGCATCCAATGGAGATCACTCTTGGTGTCTGGTAGAACCCATGCATGTACTTTACCAACTGAATCGCCACAATAAAGAGCACGTTGATTGCTGCATATATTAACAAAAAATAGTCATAATGAGTAACAGGAGATTTTTATATTTTATTAAAACAATACTTACGCTGATGTAAACAATGCAACAATATCCGCCGAGAATTTTACACCAATCCTGTTTTCGTGTTTCAGTGTATGACGATGTTCAAGACACCATTTCCATACTGTATCGATTGAAATTTTATCAATCATCGAAAAATGAATTAAAAAGAAAAACTTGATTATTTGGTATGGGCTTTTAATATCCTTTTACCTTTCTTTTCGCCATCGACGTATGTTTTATTCCAAACCTAAAAAAATAATTTGTTTCAATATAAACATGAATAAACCAAAAAAAAATCATTTTTTCGTACCTTTACGACGCCTTTTTTGTGACCTGTTAATATTACATCACGCTCGAACCATTCGTTTAACTTTCCCTAAAAGCAAGCAGGAAAAATTCGCTAAGTTTATGATAATAGAAATTGATTCTAAAGAGAAAACATTCTTCATATTTACTTCATAAAATACGCAACAAAGAACAGGATCAACCGCTGATTTTGTTATTAAAAGATCGCCGTTTATACTCCATAACCGTATTGTGGGACCACAACATGTAGCAATATCACCCTGAAAGAAATGGAAAATTGATCTTTGTAAAAAATCAACTTAAAGGAAAGAACAAATTATCACAGTTAAATACATACTGTGGTATCATTTATAGATACAAACTACAAAAAATAGATTTAATTAATTAAACTTAAATTGCTTTGAATTAGCGTTAAAAATAAGTGCTATTATACCTGTATAGGTGCTTCGTGGCCTTCTAATTGTCGAATATATTTCATCCTATTCAAGTCCCAAATAATACAAGTTTTATCCTAAAGACAAAAACACGAACCAATAAATAAATATTCAATAAAGGAAATGATAAATGAATACTATTATATTTAAGATTTTACTAACATCTGAGCCACTGATAATAACACTGTAAGATCTCGAGGTTGCTAAACAATTAATCTTTGCAGAATGCCCACGCAAACACTCCATGAAGCGGAATTGTGGATCTTTTACGTGCCATATAAATCGCCATATACAAACTACCTATAATAAAACGTAATCAAATAGTGATGAGTATATGCCATTATTAAAAGATGGACTTTACGAATAAAAGAGAGACATACAGCGTCAGTTCCCCCCGTTATAAAAGTTCTCGCATCAGCAAAACGGGCGCAACTAATTGTTTCCAAATGCAAGCTTTCATATAAGCCAATCATCTATTATTTATAATTGTAAATGTCATTATTATTATAATAAAACAAGCGATCAATGGAATGAAATAAATACCTTTCTTGTGTCAAGTTGATGAAGACGAAGACTATGATCAGCATAGCCCCATTCTACATAATGTGTATAATTCGGAGGAACTAGTAATTTCTGAGTACTAACTACATGCAAACGATCATTCGATAGGCAAATATCATGCACTTGCAGTCTGACATCTAAATAATTATTAAATACAAATCGTGTTATAATGGCAATTTAATAAATACGAAATAATCATCGAATTAATTTACCTTGTATTGGCATTATTGATTGAATAAGTGTATCAATACTTTCGTCAAATTTAAATAAGGAACCAGAACTTGGTTCTAAGACTTCGGATGATCTTACTGAATGTGGCTTTGTAAATAGTTGGCGTGGGGTTTGTCCAAAATTATATATGATGCCTGTGGAGGCTGATCGCTCAACCGGGTCTGTTATGGCATCCAGATCTGATCATAAATGCCAATTAATTTTTTAGAACTTTTTTAAAGATAAATATTGCTCTTTCAATATTAAATATAGGAACATACCAATCGCCCCTTCATAAGAAAGATGATGAAAAACATTGACGGCCTCAACAGCTGCTGGCCCTTGCTGCTTAAATCCAAAGACAAGATCGATCCATTCATTAAGATGCGTGCTCACATATTCACACTCAAGCGCCTAAAGCATTGATTGAGAAGTGTTTTTTGTCAGTTGAAACAATTCTGTAAAATCAAATGAGATTTTTCAACTATACTAACTTCTCGATGTTTGTGGATAAAAATTTTTGGATCACCTTTAGCCCAAGGTGGAAGAATAACCGAGTCGATAACTTCGCCGCTTGCTTGTTTAACTCCAAAATTGAATTTATTTGTATTTTCCAAAAACTCGGGTAAATAAAAGAATTCAGGTATCAATTCTCGAACATCGCTCATATTTTCCCGAGATGCCGATAACCAAGCTTTAGATATTGAGTGAAAAAGACGATCTGCATGATCAAAATGACCACCCTAAAAATAGAGAACACATGTATGAATCAGTGTATGCACAATAGTCTCAACTATAATAGAGAATGTAAATACCTGAAGTTTTAAATATTGTTGTGTGAATGGTTCAAGTCTGATTAGATATGAGCAAACAATCATAGCCGAAGAATAATGTGTTCCATAATGAAATGCTGGGGTTGTTGCATTTATTACGGGATCCCATGAACGATATCGGTTTTGAAATTCCTCTTTTTTTCATAGAAAATTAAAATAAGCACGTTTTTAGTTTGTAACATGAAACTTAAAATTATCATGATCGTACTATAAAAAATCAAAAAAAAATTACTTTGTCGTTCTGGAGTTTGTGCACCCATGGGTTTTGAAAAATCACGAAATGTTGCTGGATTTGTTAAATCGAGCTAAAGAAAAAAAAAAGAATAAATATTTATAACAATAAGTCAACCACAATAAAGAATTATTATTAACTTCTTCGTTGGTATAATCCGCCAAAACCCAAGGAAACACCGGATACTGCGTAAGATCTTTATGAAAAAAGAAAAAAAATCAGAGCAAGCATCTTTTCCTATGCATGATGACTATTAAATAATACTGACCATTATAAGAGCGACCAGCCAAAGTATTCAAGTGCATCAAATACTGAAAGTTAGAAATTTCTCGCTTCTCCCAACGTTGAGTAAGTTCGGTTAACTCTGAGTTTCCGAAAAAGTTAGAAAGTTGAAGTGCTAAACCGGCGGCAGGATTAAGTCGTAGTGGTGAAACAGGTGATTTTCCATCGATCACAGCAGCCGTGCCCATCACTGACTCTGCGGCACTTATGGAAAACGTGGCCCTTGCGACTAATTTATTATAAGCGACATCTCTCTCTTTTAGATTGAATGTAATTAAATGATTACGCCCATCGCTGAAGAAGATTTCAAGGGCAACATCACTTGAATAATAGTAACAAAATAAAATTTTTTAGTGAAGATTTAATTCAATCGTAGATATATAACAATATTGAAAATTTACCGAAATAAGAATTTCCTTTTATGAACTTCTTTTATATCCTCGAAAGCCCTGCCATCAGTCAAACAATCAACGATGATATTAAGTTATGTCATACCATTAAAAGAAAAATATAATACGAATAATACCATTTTCTGCTCTTGTGTTTATTTTCTGTAGAACTTGGATTAGTATTTTGTGTACCATAGCTAGCATGTGAAGCAAGCATTTGCAAATATTGATCGCGTTCCTAAATAGAATAATATTAAACTTATTATGTAAATAAGATGATTTGACAACATTTATTTTTAAAAAGCATCATACCTTGACTGGTGCATCCCAAATATCAACAATTTCGCCGTCGGAACGTTGAAAATAATTATCCAATAGATATAAATTCTGTTTGCATAATAATAGGAGTCCCTCTAATATATAAAAGTTTTAATTTAATAATAATACGCAATACAAAAAAAAATGTATAATGTTCTTACCACATGCGTCTAATCCCATAATTCGACTAATATTGAAAATCTCCAAAACAGTATCACCATGTTCCAATGAACGTATAACTTTTCGATTTTTGTCTTCCTCGAAAATCATCTCCTCATCTATATCGGTTTGATCATCACCATCTTGACCTAATAGAATAGATAAAAAGAAATTTTAACCTTGAGATTCTTGTAATAGCAATCTACATATATCAAATCATACATACCGGTATCTTCAGAATCTTCTGATGGTTTTATTTCGGTTTCCCCCGGCCTTAACGTCATTTGTCTTTGAGGTTTTTTCACTATATTCAACAATATTAATTTAAGAGATTGAATAACTCATATATAACATCAGAGGATTACATACCTTTTGGCCCAATCGAGGGAACATTCAACGCTAAAAAAACAATAAAAATTTTAATTCTTCTAATATTAAAAGATGATGATCAACATTAAATACTAACTATTTGATTTATTGGGATTATTTAATTCTAGAGGTTGTGATGCTGTAAAAGATTTATTATCCTATAATCATCGATAAATTAGAAAGAATAAACAAAGGAAATTCAAAAACAATTGCAAACAAAAAAAACAAAACTATTAAAGACCTCCGCATTTTCATATTTACTGCTTTTCGGTTTATAAGAGAAGACTTGCAAATCTTCATTTCGTTCCAATTTTCTTCGCATACGACATCGTCCTTAATTATAAAAATAAAAAATTAAGCTTCACAATAAACTTACCTCAACATCAATTATAAATCAACTTACCTTCCGTAAAATCAAGCCTCCATCTACTAGTCTTATCCACTTCGCTCTTCGGCCCCCACAAAGCACGCTCGCGAAACAGATCCACCGAAGTTTTCGCCCATTCCGATCTTACATAATTATCATGATCCACATTATCTTGCAACGACTTATAATATCTACTAATTTCAATATCTTGTATATGTTTAGACCATTGATTTGTTTTGATTTTGTATTGATCAAAGAAATCTTGGTCGAATGATCCTCGCTTATACACGCGCTTAAGTTTGGTCATCCGTTTAGAATGTGCGTTTTTTAACGATTCTTTGCCGTTTCTTACTTCGTTGGCAATTACTGTTTCCCATATTCGGAGGAAATGATCTTGAAATAGTGAGTCGAGTTGTTCTCGCCGAATTTCTATCCATTCAAGGAATGAGTCTATTTCCTGAAGACACATCAAGTTAGATTGTTTCAACATGTTATGCACGAATGGGATAGATAGTGTTAGTTAAACCATATTTAGAATTATCATTACCATTTCCAAAAGTTTAGAGAATCCTTCGATCAATTCTTTATATTCTAAGAAACAATAAATCGGATTACGATAAAAATTAAAACGGCAAATCAGAACCGTAAAGGAAAACTAAAAAAATTCGAACCTATTCCTCGAACCTTAGTTTTCAAAATGGTATGCATTTCATTCGGTTTCTGAAGCATCAACAACTTCCAAATCTATAAAAATAACAGTAATGTTAAGGAACCACAACAATACAAATTATGATTATTAAATTGAAAAGTCATCATTATAGAAAAAGGATACGCTCATCGAACTCTTTTTAACATCCTGGTTTTCATAGAGTAAAAATTTGTATAAATGATAACACAGACACCGAAGAAAATCTATATCTGTGTTATACTGACCAAAGATAATCTTTTGATGGTATATAAGTTGAGTGAGCATTTCAATAATCATCGAGACCTCTGGTGAGATTTGACTAATCTCGTGGAGCTTAAAAACGATTATTCGATTCAATGAGCGGTAAAGAGTGTTCATAGTTGAATCAGATGCGCGTTGTTTACCATTGGCTTCTTCTTGTCGTTGCGTGGCTTCGAGAACAATGGTAATAAGCTCATATAATTGATTTCGCCCATTTAAAAACCATCCTAATATATAAAATGTTTAATATTTCAAACAAAAAATGCTATAGGATTAAACGATATTATAACAAAAACCTTGATAAATTGCATCGACAGCGTGTTGAGCAAATCGTGCAGTATTAGAGAAGACACGTTGATCCGCCAATAAAGACAAATCAAGTTGTAAAGTACTCTTTAAATATGCTACAACATGTAAATATATGTAGCTCTCGAATTGGATCTAAAACTCAAAAATTAATTAGAAATTTTGAAACTTCATAAGATACCTATCTATCTATCTATCTATATAATTTGAATAAGTCACTAACTAACCTGATGATCCAATAAAGATGGTGGAAACGACTATTAATGAATCAATGGTAAAATATTTTATTCAAGTTAATTTTAATTAGTTAAATATCCATAAAAAGCTAACTCACCCTTAATACCATATCCAATCCTAATAATGGTTTGATATTTGCATCTACGACAGAATTAGCGCAAACAGAAATTATAAATTCAAGAAGACTTTCCACCGTAGCATTCTTTTGTATGGCGTATTCTGATCTCTTTGAGTTTTTAAGATTAGTCGGAGATATTGAGGATACATTATTAATATTGATATTATTATCATTATCATCGTTAATCTTTTTATTAAGATTATTAAGACTAATATTACTATTGATATTATCATTATTATTATTTTTACTATTTTTATCTCCATCAACTCCATCATCATCATCATCATCGTCATCGTCATCGTCATCATCATCATCGTCATCGTCATCATCATTATCAGCATTATTCTTTTGATCATCAGTCTCTTCATTGTTTGTTGAAGGATATTTCGTTGTTGATTCAGTGGTCGCTAATAATAAACCACTTCCGGTCGGAAAAGACTTCAATTCCTCAGCTGGCTCATCAATATGAACTTGCGATTGCTGTCGTTTCATATTGGTAAGGATTGGCAAAACATGAGGATTAATGTTGCCCAAGTGCACATCAAAAGATGATTCCGAATCAAAAGAAAGATCGATATCTTTTGAATTTAATTCCATTTCCACAGACACCTCATCAGAGGCGCATACGATGGGAAATAGAATTTCGACAATGCCATCCATCACTTCACTTTTGCAGCAAAGTTCACCAAATTCACTAGATGTGGAGTACATTTCCGCAATAAAATGAACGAGTGTTTGTTGTACTTGAGAGAGTTTTGCAAGCTGTTCTTTTGTTTCATCCCGGACTGGTTCAGCTGTTCACACAGATTGTCGTATCAAAAAGATATTACATATACATAATTGAAGTCTTTTTTTAAAGAAACTTAAAGTGATCGAGGTTCTCCTACCTGCGATCAAATCTGACATTCGATTTTTTGCCAATTCCACTTCACGAGTGAGTGATCGTGATTTTCTGCGATGTGATTTTAATCGTCTTTTGTCCGTTTGTAGCAACGAATCATCTTGTGTCCTACCTCGAATTAATGTATTGTCTTCGATCTCACGACTTAATTGTACAATTGCGTCAATTCCTTCCTTCATCATGGACAAAATAATTGGCATCACATCAGGGCATTGTATATAAGTACGTTCATCCTGTCCTTTATATATATTTACTAGCGCAAATAGATCAAAAGGCAAGTCCATAGGTACATCGCAAATATCTCGACCAAACAGCATTGCAAATAACGTTTGTTGCAGTTGCGTTAAATACCACCATTGTGGGAGCAATTTTTGCATAACAATGAATCCTTCGGAAGTCGTGCGGAACTTTGTAATATAAGTTGACCCTTGAGAATGAAAAAGTCTCGCGAGAATTCGCGCGGCACAAACCACCCATGATGGATTGGAATCTTCACCAAAAAATAATAATGGCCATTTGTTTGTGATTGTCGTTGAGAATTTGTTAATGTAAAAAGGATTCAATTTGTCGCAGACAATGTCCGTTAGCATTTCCATCAACATTACACCAACCTGTCTAGAAGGTGTGTCAGGAGGTAATGTCCTTACGTCTGTCACAATTGTTTTGGGTGGTATCTGCGAGTTATTATTAGTATTGTTATTAAGGCTAGTATTGCTGTTATTATTGTGATTCTTTAGTTTTGAATTGTTGGCAGTGACAGTGACGCTGCGTTTCAATGAAGAATCTCTACGCATTTGCCGCCGATTTCCTGAAGCTAAATTTTTAAAAATTTATGAAATAATTATTGCAAATAAATATGAAATGAAATTTTTATTAAGAAAATTTGTAAAAACACTTACGTTTATTCAGAGTTGAGACTAAAAATGTGGCAATAGCACGTATTACTTCGGTTGTAAAATTATATTTTACTACTATCTTTAAAGTGGCTACAAACTCGGCCAACAAGTCTTTAGAATACGCATTGGTTTTTAAGGCGACCAACATTTTCTTAACAACATCTACATCAAGAGATTTATTAAGGAAATATTATGTTCAATAAGTCAAATTCATTGATACCAGAATTAATTATAATTTGATGCAAAGGATACGCATTTTACTCAATCGCTTAGCATTGAAATGATGGTGCAAACTTAAATGAATAAAAGCTGTAAATTGTTGCAAATGTGCACGTTGCACAGTATCTCCAGCACGTTTCCATAGCTCAAAATCCAAAATAAGGAAACGGTATGCAAGAGGATTCACGATTACCGAATCACTAAAATAAATAATATATATGATGAAGATAAAATAACTCGGATCGATTTTTTATAAAAAAAAATTCGCTTACGTCGGACTGATTGGATTAAATCCAACAAATACAAGCAACAAATTCAATAGTTCCAGTGATAAAAGCCCATGCTTTTGTTTTAGTAAAAATGCCAAAATTTCATATCCATGAATTCGTTCCATATCTTCAGAATTCCTCCAACTAAATCGAATCAATTCGATGAGTGTACAAACGGCTTTGTAGAGATCTTTTGTAGTCTTGTCACATCATAATATAAATATATTAACAGAATAATACGAAAATATAACTCAAATTTTTGTAACATAAGAAAAAATCGATCTACCTCAGCTTTTTCAATCAATCTTAAAACAACAGCAGATCCACCAATCTTCCAAATGGAATCGTCCATTCCGTAAGGAATAGCGACAATTGGATCACCTTTAAGATATGCCAGTCCATGTGCTACTCGTAAAGCTCGTTCCACTTTTGGAACTGCCGCATTGAGAATGACTTTTTTATTTGCTGATCCAATCGCCAGCGCTTGTATAGTACCTTCAGAAAGACCGGATCCTAATATACTAGCGTTCTGTCCAGACACAAGAACGTTACTTGCGGAAAATGAAAAAATGATTTTTTCCTCGGGAAGGGTTTGACTATTATTTCCTCTTATGGCATTCACCATCGCCAAATGATCAAGTTCTAGATTAGCATCTTTACGTTTACGGCTCATCGCATCAAGTTTCATATTTAAAAGTGTCGATGTCTGATAAGTTTGAAATTGTCCCAATGAATCTTGAAAATTAGATGAATATCTAGGGCCTAAATGATAAAATACACTGATAATATCGCCGTCGATATCATCCTCAAATAGATAACATGGACCGAGATCCCATGCTAGAGTAGATTTACCTTTGCCCAGTTGTCTTGCAACATCAGAAGGCGTTCCTAAAAATGTTCGGATTGGTTTATAGGGCGCAGGCTGCCCTAAATACTGACATTTTGAATTTTCGACAAATCTTCCATCCACGTAAAGAGACATTGAAGATATCGATCCAGCACGTGGACGATGATGAACAAGTGCAATGTGATACCAACATCCAGTTCGAAATTCGTGATTTTCAAATCGAGCACCTAGTTGAGGTGATGTGTTTACTACTAGTTTATGTGTATGTGCTTCAATATAAACATGCAAATAACATTTCTGTTCATCATCGCTCAAACCCAAAAGTGTCAAATTAATATGAGGGTCAAAGCTTTCGATATCAAGCCAGGCTAGAAAAGTATATCCTGAACTAGTTGGAGGGAATTGTCGATCGGTGAGTCTGCTCATTTCAAGACATGAAAAGCCATAAGGACTCATATCAAATTGTACGAAACGCGGCCAACGACTCCTTTGAACTCCAAAGAAAACCATGTCCATGACAGACATCGGCGACCCATCAGCATCTATGAAAACTTCCTCAACTGAATCATTGCTATTTTCAAATTGTTCAAAGAGAAACCGAATCTCGGTAGTAGATACGCCCATTTCAATTAATCGTTGCGCGAGTCTTGTCAATATTCGCTTCTCCATTTTATCCGGTATATTTTATTTATTTTAGTGATTCGGTAATCGTGAATCCTCATACATACCGGTATCTTCAGAATCTTCTGATGGTTTTATTTCGGTTTCCCCCGGCCTTAACGTCATTTGTCTTTGAGGTTTTTTCACTATATTCAACAATATTAATTTAAGAGATTGAATAACTCATATATAACATCAGAGGATTACATACCTTTTGGCCCAATCGAGGGAACATTCAACGCTAAAAAAACAATAAAAATTTTAATTCTTCTAATATTAAAAGATGATGATCAACATTAAATACTAACTATTTGATTTATTGGGATTATTTAATTCTAGAGGTTGTGATGCTGTAAAAGATTTATTATCCTATAATCATCGATAAATTAGAAAGAATAAACAAAGGAAATTCAAAAACAATTGCAAACAAAAAAAACAAAACTATTAAAGACCTCCGCATTTTCATATTTACTGCTTTTCGGTTTATAAGAGAAGACTTGCAAATCTTCATTTCGTTCCAATTTTCTTCGCATACGACATCGTCCTTAATTATAAAAATAAAAAATTAAGCTTCACAATAAACTTACCTCAACATCAATTATAAATCAACTTACCTTCCGTAAAATCAAGCCTCCATCTACTAGTCTTATCCACTTCGCTCTTCGGCCCCCACAAAGCACGCTCGCGAAACAGATCCACCGAAGTTTTCGCCCATTCCGATCTTACATAATTATCATGATCCACATTATCTTGCAACGACTTATAATATCTACTAATTTCAATATCTTGTATATGTTTAGACCATTGATTTGTTTTGATTTTGTATTGATCAAAGAAATCTTGGTCGAATGATCCTCGCTTATACACGCGCTTAAGTTTGGTCATCCGTTTAGAATGTGCGTTTTTTAACGATTCTTTGCCGTTTCTTACTTCGTTGGCAATTACTGTTTCCCATATTCGGAGGAAATGATCTTGAAATAGTGAGTCGAGTTGTTCTCGCCGAATTTCTATCCATTCAAGGAATGAGTCTATTTCCTGAAGACACATCAAGTTAGATTGTTTCAACATGTTATGCACGAATGGGATAGATAGTGTTAGTTAAACCATATTTAGAATTATCATTACCATTTCCAAAAGTTTAGAGAATCCTTCGATCAATTCTTTATATTCTAAGAAACAATAAATCGGATTACGATAAAAATTAAAACGGCAAATCAGAACCGTAAAGGAAAACTAAAAAAATTCGAACCTATTCCTCGAACCTTAGTTTTCAAAATGGTATGCATTTCATTCGGTTTCTGAAGCATCAACAACTTCCAAATCTATAAAAATAACAGTAATGTTAAGGAACCACAACAATACAAATTATGATTATTAAATTGAAAAGTCATCATTATAGAAAAAGGATACGCTCATCGAACTCTTTTTAACATCCTGGTTTTCATAGAGTAAAAATTTGTATAAATGATAACACAGACACCGAAGAAAATCTATATCTGTGTTATACTGACCAAAGATAATCTTTTGATGGTATATAAGTTGAGTGAGCATTTCAATAATCATCGAGACCTCTGGTGAGATTTGACTAATCTCGTGGAGCTTAAAAACGATTATTCGATTCAATGAGCGGTAAAGAGTGTTCATAGTTGAATCAGATGCGCGTTGTTTACCATTGGCTTCTTCTTGTCGTTGCGTGGCTTCGAGAACAATGGTAATAAGCTCATATAATTGATTTCGCCCATTTAAAAACCATCCTAATATATAAAATGTTTAATATTTCAAACAAAAAATGCTATAGGATTAAACGATATTATAACAAAAACCTTGATAAATTGCATCGACAGCGTGTTGAGCAAATCGTGCAGTATTAGAGAAGACACGTTGATCCGCCAATAAAGACAAATCAAGTTGTAAAGTACTCTTTAAATATGCTACAACATGTAAATATATGTAGCTCTCGAATTGGATCTAAAACTCAAAAATTAATTAGAAATTTTGAAACTTCATAAGATACCTATCTATCTATCTATCTATATAATTTGAATAAGTCACTAACTAACCTGATGATCCAATAAAGATGGTGGAAACGACTATTAATGAATCAATGGTAAAATATTTTATTCAAGTTAATTTTAATTAGTTAAATATCCATAAAAAGCTAACTCACCCTTAATACCATATCCAATCCTAATAATGGTTTGATATTTGCATCTACGACAGAATTAGCGCAAACAGAAATTATAAATTCAAGAAGACTTTCCACCGTAGCATTCTTTTGTATGGCGTATTCTGATCTCTTTGAGTTTTTAAGATTAGTCGGAGATATTGAGGATACATTATTAATATTGATATTATTATCATTATCATCGTTAATCTTTTTATTAAGATTATTAAGACTAATATTACTATTGATATTATCATTATTATTATTTTTACTATTTTTATCTCCATCAACTCCATCATCATCATCATCATCGTCATCGTCATCGTCATCATCATCATCGTCATCGTCATCATCATTATCAGCATTATTCTTTTGATCATCAGTCTCTTCATTGTTTGTTGAAGGATATTTCGTTGTTGATTCAGTGGTCGCTAATAATAAACCACTTCCGGTCGGAAAAGACTTCAATTCCTCAGCTGGCTCATCAATATGAACTTGCGATTGCTGTCGTTTCATATTGGTAAGGATTGGCAAAACATGAGGATTAATGTTGCCCAAGTGCACATCAAAAGATGATTCCGAATCAAAAGAAAGATCGATATCTTTTGAATTTAATTCCATTTCCACAGACACCTCATCAGAGGCGCATACGATGGGAAATAGAATTTCGACAATGCCATCCATCACTTCACTTTTGCAGCAAAGTTCACCAAATTCACTAGATGTGGAGTACATTTCCGCAATAAAATGAACGAGTGTTTGTTGTACTTGAGAGAGTTTTGCAAGCTGTTCTTTTGTTTCATCCCGGACTGGTTCAGCTGTTCACACAGATTGTCGTATCAAAAAGATATTACATATACATAATTGAAGTCTTTTTTTAAAGAAACTTAAAGTGATCGAGGTTCTCCTACCTGCGATCAAATCTGACATTCGATTTTTTGCCAATTCCACTTCACGAGTGAGTGATCGTGATTTTCTGCGATGTGATTTTAATCGTCTTTTGTCCGTTTGTAGCAACGAATCATCTTGTGTCCTACCTCGAATTAATGTATTGTCTTCGATCTCACGACTTAATTGTACAATTGCGTCAATTCCTTCCTTCATCATGGACAAAATAATTGGCATCACATCAGGGCATTGTATATAAGTACGTTCATCCTGTCCTTTATATATATTTACTAGCGCAAATAGATCAAAAGGCAAGTCCATAGGTACATCGCAAATATCTCGACCAAACAGCATTGCAAATAACGTTTGTTGCAGTTGCGTTAAATACCACCATTGTGGGAGCAATTTTTGCATAACAATGAATCCTTCGGAAGTCGTGCGGAACTTTGTAATATAAGTTGACCCTTGAGAATGAAAAAGTCTCGCGAGAATTCGCGCGGCACAAACCACCCATGATGGATTGGAATCTTCACCAAAAAATAATAATGGCCATTTGTTTGTGATTGTCGTTGAGAATTTGTTAATGTAAAAAGGATTCAATTTGTCGCAGACAATGTCCGTTAGCATTTCCATCAACATTACACCAACCTGTCTAGAAGGTGTGTCAGGAGGTAATGTCCTTACGTCTGTCACAATTGTTTTGGGTGGTATCTGCGAGTTATTATTAGTATTGTTATTAAGGCTAGTATTGCTGTTATTATTGTGATTCTTTAGTTTTGAATTGTTGGCAGTGACAGTGACGCTGCGTTTCAATGAAGAATCTCTACGCATTTGCCGCCGATTTCCTGAAGCTAAATTTTTAAAAATTTATGAAATAATTATTGCAAATAAATATGAAATGAAATTTTTATTAAGAAAATTTGTAAAAACACTTACGTTTATTCAGAGTTGAGACTAAAAATGTGGCAATAGCACGTATTACTTCGGTTGTAAAATTATATTTTACTACTATCTTTAAAGTGGCTACAAACTCGGCCAACAAGTCTTTAGAATACGCATTGGTTTTTAAGGCGACCAACATTTTCTTAACAACATCTACATCAAGAGATTTATTAAGGAAATATTATGTTCAATAAGTCAAATTCATTGATACCAGAATTAATTATAATTTGATGCAAAGGATACGCATTTTACTCAATCGCTTAGCATTGAAATGATGGTGCAAACTTAAATGAATAAAAGCTGTAAATTGTTGCAAATGTGCACGTTGCACAGTATCTCCAGCACGTTTCCATAGCTCAAAATCCAAAATAAGGAAACGGTATGCAAGAGGATTCACGATTACCGAATCACTAAAATAAATAATATATATGATGAAGATAAAATAACTCGGATCGATTTTTTATAAAAAAAAATTCGCTTACGTCGGACTGATTGGATTAAATCCAACAAATACAAGCAACAAATTCAATAGTTCCAGTGATAAAAGCCCATGCTTTTGTTTTAGTAAAAATGCCAAAATTTCATATCCATGAATTCGTTCCATATCTTCAGAATTCCTCCAACTAAATCGAATCAATTCGATGAGTGTACAAACGGCTTTGTAGAGATCTTTTGTAGTCTTGTCACATCATAATATAAATATATTAACAGAATAATACGAAAATATAACTCAAATTTTTGTAACATAAGAAAAAATCGATCTACCTCAGCTTTTTCAATCAATCTTAAAACAACAGCAGATCCACCAATCTTCCAAATGGAATCGTCCATTCCGTAAGGAATAGCGACAATTGGATCACCTTTAAGATATGCCAGTCCATGTGCTACTCGTAAAGCTCGTTCCACTTTTGGAACTGCCGCATTGAGAATGACTTTTTTATTTGCTGATCCAATCGCCAGCGCTTGTATAGTACCTTCAGAAAGACCGGATCCTAATATACTAGCGTTCTGTCCAGACACAAGAACGTTACTTGCGGAAAATGAAAAAATGATTTTTTCCTCGGGAAGGGTTTGACTATTATTTCCTCTTATGGCATTCACCATCGCCAAATGATCAAGTTCTAGATTAGCATCTTTACGTTTACGGCTCATCGCATCAAGTTTCATATTTAAAAGTGTCGATGTCTGATAAGTTTGAAATTGTCCCAATGAATCTTGAAAATTAGATGAATATCTAGGGCCTAAATGATAAAATACACTGATAATATCGCCGTCGATATCATCCTCAAATAGATAACATGGACCGAGATCCCATGCTAGAGTAGATTTACCTTTGCCCAGTTGTCTTGCAACATCAGAAGGCGTTCCTAAAAATGTTCGGATTGGTTTATAGGGCGCAGGCTGCCCTAAATACTGACATTTTGAATTTTCGACAAATCTTCCATCCACGTAAAGAGACATTGAAGATATCGATCCAGCACGTGGACGATGATGAACAAGTGCAATGTGATACCAACATCCAGTTCGAAATTCGTGATTTTCAAATCGAGCACCTAGTTGAGGTGATGTGTTTACTACTAGTTTATGTGTATGTGCTTCAATATAAACATGCAAATAACATTTCTGTTCATCATCGCTCAAACCCAAAAGTGTCAAATTAATATGAGGGTCAAAGCTTTCGATATCAAGCCAGGCTAGAAAAGTATATCCTGAACTAGTTGGAGGGAATTGTCGATCGGTGAGTCTGCTCATTTCAAGACATGAAAAGCCATAAGGACTCATATCAAATTGTACGAAACGCGGCCAACGACTCCTTTGAACTCCAAAGAAAACCATGTCCATGACAGACATCGGCGACCCATCAGCATCTATGAAAACTTCCTCAACTGAATCATTGCTATTTTCAAATTGTTCAAAGAGAAACCGAATCTCGGTAGTAGATACGCCCATTTCAATTAATCGTTGCGCGAGTCTTGTCAATATTCGCTTCTCCATTTTATCCGGTATATTTCGTAATTCCAATTCACTTTCGCTTACAGATTCTGGGATTGAAAATAAACGTCTCAATAAAATCTCGACTACGCCTGATTGGTTCATTGTTACTTGATTTCGTCGATTAGCAAAAGCAAGGGATGTTAGTGCCTCGTAAATTTCATAACTTAATGTTTCGTTATAACGAACATAAGTTTGTAAGTGCAAGATAGTAGGGATTACATCTGGATTTCGAATTTCATCTGTCACTTTTCCAAAAGCTTTATTGATTTTTAACTGACGCGCTTCATTAAATCTTGACGTTTGACTTTCATTCACAACACTTTTCTCTACAAATATGTCACACACCGATTCATCTTCGAGCGCAAATCCAAATAGAATTCCAAAAAGATGCTCAGCGGAGCCTGATGGCCCAAGAATTTCGGTGAGACGAATTGCATCTTCAATTGATTTGAACCCAATAGAATTACTAAAAAATTTTCGATTAAAATCATGATTGGACATTGCATCAGCAAAGACAAAGAAAATTCCCTTCAAAATATCAATTGTTTGTTGTTTCGTAGGAAGATCACAGTTTTCAAGATCAATAATAGTTTCCAATTGTTCTTGCTCTCTGATCTTTTGACTATTATTATCTTTAGATAAATGCTCATAAACGTCTTCTAAGCTGACTAATAAACTAACAAGACAGACAAAACCTCCTGTTTCCCGAAAAACATCCTTCATTTCTGGACAGGCGACCAAGATTCGCCTCATTGAAGATAAAATATGTATTTTCATTTTTAGATCTAGTCGATTTAGTGTTTGAACTATTTCAATTAATCGTCCAAATTGGAATGAGTGCTCAATAGTAGACACAGAAGATGATGATGATCTAGATGTATGTGATTTTGGAGTTTGTGGTTCGCCACTCGATAAAATATATCCATCGACAACTAATGTCTCGAAAATTGCAAGTGCACCATCACGCGTCTCGTCGTACTGCAGCAAATCAAATAAATTTCCTTTGAAACTTTCCAATAATGAAATAATGCAGATTAGTAGAAATTATGCAACTTATGAAAATATAATAATCTATAAGTAAAATACTTACGTCACTCCAAATAAAGAAATATTTGGTTTACTGCCTTTCAGCAGTTCTACCATGCACGCAGATATCAATTGAAAATTTTCTACTACTTCGGGACCAAATCGTAGTTTCTTTTGGTCGCTATTGCGTTTTTGTGAATTCAGAATATCATTCAACTGCGTAATTGAAATTCGCCTTACAAAATGTGTGTTGCCAAATCTTTCCTGCAAAGTGGTTGCTAAATCTTGTATAAGGCTACATAACATGTTCAAAAGCCCAATCTCACGAAATACGTCCTTGAATTTAGGTGAAGAACGCAACAATGATATTACAGTCTTACATACAAGAGCAGTAGTTTGTTTAGATGATTGACCTTCCAATCAATATCAGAGGGAGAAAAGAAGATTATTAACACGTTTTTTCGATTATGGCATAATCGCATACCACTTTTACCTTGAAAATGCAGGCAGAGGACAATTAATTCGCGAAAAGGAACATAATTTAAATCTGCCATCGTAAAAACTAACAAGTCGAGTATTGATTTCTGATTTTATATAAAGAAAAACCAATATTATTTATTGGGTTCCAATGATAATATTAATAAGCAATATCACATCATAACTTGCCTGTACAGTTATCCCAAATTTATCCAATTGTTCGATAAATGTGGGTAAAATGTTCAATGATTCCGTTATAAAATAATTCATCGGATTCGACTTTATTATATCAGTGATAGCAATGACTATACGTTTATGGAAACTTTCGGGCATTGATATGCCGCTGTCAACTGTGACTATGGCTTTTAATTGTGAAGATATTTCTGGATATACAAGTGCGGAAACCAGAATCTGTAGAGCCTGTTCGTTACGAACGAGGGTCCCTAAATTAGAACAAGAAACTCTCAAGTTATATACTAGCAAAAGCTTGATGCTTAATGATAAATAGTAGATAAGAAATACCATTTTCATTGTCTCCTTCAGGTAAACGGAAATCTAAATTTCGAAAATTAATTTTACATGATTAACAATAAAGAATTATCTTTTGTAAATAGATAGTTCACAACGTTTTATCTACCTTCATGTTGATATGGCGCAGCATTCGATGCCATGGGCTTTAAATCGTCAGTTCCGGCAAACACAAGATCCTCTACCAAGGTAATTACGGTATCCTGACGCAGATAAAATAAAAAAGTATTAATTCTAATATTTTGCGCAACACATCTAGCTTGAAAGAAAAGAAACTAGAACAAATGCAAAAATATTACGTGTAATATCAAATATTTATGTGTCTACTTCAAATTACCTTTGTAGAAGATGAATTCTCATCAAAAGGTGGCAAGAGTAATAAATTGAATAAAGTTTCGTATCCTTGCAGGCCAGAGAACTTTTCTAAAAAAATTGGCGACAAATCCACAGTTCCCTAAAAATACAATGCAGAAAATGTCGATTAAAAGTTCAGTTTCATAGAAGTAAATAGCGTGAAATAATTATTAGTCACCTGAATTAATTCAATTAAAAGTGAACCAGCAAGAACTAATTGTTGACTATATACGAATCTCTTATTTTTTACATCTACTCCATTTTTCAATATTTTGATCAGTCTGCCCATTATATCTTTGTTCTCAAAATATGTAATAAGTTCCTGATTGACTGCATTCGCTGAAAAAAGCTCGGTGAGCACCTCAAGTCCTCTGCAAAGATAATATCATCAGGTAAAATATCGAAAATAAACCAAAGATATTAGGTAGGTTAAATTTACCTAGCTTCCCAGAAAAACCCATTTTCTTCATCTTCAGATTTATTTTGTTTATCATTCAAAATCATTGTAACCAAATAAAGTAATATGTCCTCTTCAACTAGTCGTTGCAATATTGGCGGATTTGTAACAAAATGAACGAGGATATCTGTGAAAATGTCTGCTACGACATCTACCGGAGTTAAGGTTTGTGAGTCTGAGGAACTTCCCTCAGATTGTGGCTTGATAGGCGCGTTGAGATCAAGTTGCGGTGGTAATTCGACGAAACTGCTAAAGGCTCTAATTAAAATTGTCGGAAGCCCATTTTCTTTTATTGTATCGAGTACATGTGGCTTTTTAACGATTAAAGTAATAAATAATTATTAATATTGAAGAAGCAAGTGAAAATTAAGGATATCAAGGTACCGCGATACATTAAAGTGAAGTATCAGCATGTCAGGTTCGAATTCTCAAATTTAAAGATAAATCTGTATATAATTCAATTTTGATATATGCTGATACCTCATTATAAATTATCTTATTAATTTTACTTTGTACAGGAAAGACTCAATTACATTACTTTTATATCAATCGAGTGCTTTCTTAATATATAATAAGATTTATACATACTGGTCCATTGCACAGAATGTTGAGTGCTTTTAATGAAAAGAATAAATGTTCTCTTGACGATAATTTGCGTAAAATCTCTATTTAGCCATGAAGTCGAGAAATCAATGATTGTTCGAAAAAATTCGAAATTACTAATAGATTAAATAATGCTCACAATACCCTGACTGGCCTCCGATCCTGTATCAGGAACGCTACGAATCCCGGCGATCAAGTGTTTTGAAACGACATTTGTGAACGATCTCAAATTATCCAAACTATTCAAAAAAATGACACGTTAAAATTTAAATGTATTATAAAGAAAAATTAAGCACTTAAGATTATACCTGTCTGCCACAAGTTCTGGTGCTTCCACATATATATCACAAAATTTTCGTACGGTTTTTGATAAAAGAATACTTCGTTCCTAGTGCAAGTACGTCAAATAACTTAGAATCACAGTTATATAAAGTCAAGTAGCCTACATTTTTGGCTACATGATGCTTGATTGACGAGATTGTTAATTAGATATGAGCGGATACCTTTTCCTCAAAAGCATTCTGCCATTGTTGGAAGAGTGAGCGTAATTCTTGGAGTTGTTCAACGGGAATCCTGAACATCAAATATAATTCAGAATTCGGGGAATAACATTGTCATATATAAATCAAATCATGTAAAAGCACACATGGCAATTTTAGAGAAAACAGAAAATATTTTTTGATTAGATCGACATAATACAAATGTCAAATTTATCTTGGATACATTCAAAAAAATTGATATTATTAATATCCTTATAATTTCAAAGAATCTGACTACTTGCTATTTGAACCTTATAGTAACAATGTATTAAAAATTAAATTCTCTAGACACGTTAGTGATAAGAAACAAAACTCACGTTTTACGTGGTGAAATAACTAGTTCTCGAGCTGCTACCTCGTCTATAACACCAAACAGTAAGCTCGAGCGTCGTTTAGCCTCAGTAAGTCTAGGACTCTTTGGCGAGCCTTGTATAGATCTTCTCTTTACAAATTGCTTTTCGGGCAACCCAAGAGGAACGTTAGTTTGTGACGAGGAACTTGCACCGGTCGCATTCTTTATTTGACCAACAAATTTAGACCACATTCTTTAAATGTTTATTTCAATTTAGATAAGGAGATAAAGTATCTTTTGGCCCAAGTTATATTGGCCACGACAGGACCGAAAAAGATCAGAGAACACTATGCGTTTATTACTTTGGCAAGATAGCAGGTAGCGTGTAGTTTCTATTCGGGCTTGTTCTTTTCTTTCCTCGAGTTTAGTGATTTCACGTGATTTAAGAGTACAACCAACACCTCGTTAAATTAGCTCATCCTTATTCCGTCAGTTGGTGAAAGTTATTTAATGTAAATACGATTGTTGAATTTAAAATTCATCTAAAATCTATAGTTAATTCTAATTACACTATAATGTGAAAAGAGGGTTGACTACCCAAATGTAATTATATCAATAACTGAGAAAAAGAAAAGTAAATCATAACAATAATCATCTTTTGTATTTACAAATTATTTCTTTCATTATACATTTATATTTGCCTCATTATTAATATTACCAAGTATATTCTCTAATTCTTGTACATAATCTTTAATAGGATGAATTAATTAAATGTTCTTTTGTAATTACGAATTAACCGTTCTTTCATGAGCAAGAGAAAATGCGGTAGCGGAAGTTCAAAAAAGCTAGTAACTTGTTTAGTATTGGTCAAATTATGTATAAAAGAAACATTGCAATTGCTGACACGCTAAAACAAGGTAGACTATCAAATCACTAGAAATTTCATTATAAAAGATATATCTAAGGTAAAGTTACCAAATAGAGAAATTTCATTTTCTCCCCAACATTTTTATTAGTCTTCAACTAGATTTTGCTATCTGTTTTATGTATTTTTGGTATTTTTTATTTTCTTGATCAGTTTTGCTGAACCAAATTTCAATTCATTACATCCGATTAAATTTAGGATATGGATAAGGTCGTTGTTACCCGGCGGTCCTCGTTATCGAGAACCTACCGAGACTGAACGATCACGAGGTTTTTCG